TCATAGCTCAGTGATAACAGTGACTCATAGCTCAGTGATAACAGTGACTCATAGCTCAGTGATAACAGTTACCCATAGCTCAGTGATAACAGTGACTCATAGCTCAGTGATAACAGTGACCCATAGCTCAGTGATAACAGTGACTCATAGCTCAGTGATAACAGTGACTCATAGCTCAGTGATAACAGTGACTCATAGCTCAGTGATAACAGTGACCCGTAGCTCAGTGATAACGGTGACCCATAGCTCAGTGATAACAGTGACCCATAGCTCAGTGATAACAGTGACCCATAGCTCAGTGATAACAGTAACTCATAGCTCAGTGATAACAGTGACTCATAGCTCAGTGATAACAATGACCCATAGCTCAGTGATAACAGTGACTCATAGCTCAGTGATAACAGTGACCCATAGCTCAGTGATAACGGTGACCCATAGCTCAGTGATAACAGTGACCCATAGCTCAGTGATAACAATGACCCATAGCTCAGTGATAACAGTGACTCATAGCTCAGTGATAACAGTGACTCATAGCTCAGTGATAACAGTGACTCATAGCTCAGTGATAACAGTGACTCATAGCTCAGTGATAACAGTGACCCATAGCTCAGTGATAACAGTGACTCATAGCTCAGTGATAACAGTGACCCATAGCTCAGTGATAACAGTGACTCATAGCTCAGTGATAACAGTGACTCATAGCTCAGTGATAACAGTGACTCATAGCTCAGTGATAACAGTGACCCGTAGCTCAGTGATAACGGTGACCCATAGCTCAGTGATAACAGTGACCCATAGCTCAGTGATAACAGTGACCCATAGCTCAGTGATAACAGTGACTCATAGCTCAGTGATAACAGTGACTCACAGCTCAGTGATAACAATGACCCATAGCTCAGTGATAACAGTGACTCATAGCTCAGTGATAATAGTGACCCATAGCTCAGTGATAACAGTGACTCATAGCTCAGTGATAACAGTGACTCATAGCTCAGTGATAACAATGACCCATAGCTCAGTGATAACAGTGACTCATAGCTGAGTGATAACAGTGACTCATAGCTCAGTGATAACAGTGACTCATAGCTGAGTGATAACAGTGACTCATAGCTCAGTGATAACAATGACCCATAGCTCAGTGATAACAGTGACTCATAGCTGAGTGATAACAGTGACTCATAGCTCAGTGATAACAGTGACTCATAGCTCAGTGATAACGCGTTCGCTTCACAGCCGAATGGGTCCAGGCTTTATCCCCGGGCTAGTCGACGCGTCTGTACAAGTATAATTACATTTGCTGCCCCTGTTCAACTAGCAGTAATATAGGTGTCTATAAAATTTAGCCGGGTGTTTGTGGGTCCTAGGGAGGCTTGGAAAGACCCCAACGGAAATAAACCCCACGTTTGACTTTCTTAGGTTATCCCGGGTTAATATCCCTCCTTGGGTAATAATCCGAGGTAGTCTTATTCTTCTTCTTCATAATATTCTTGATATGTACACCAGGGCTTCATAACAATCGCTCAGGCAGAAAATCATTAATGCTAAGCTAGTCAATTACGTTAGCTAAGGCGTAAAATTGTCGGGAACATGATACATTATCGGCCACATTGTTCACTAATCTTACAACTACAATTGCAGCTAAATCGTTAAATCGTTATTGCAAGGTCTTACTAATATGTTTTGCAGAAATATTAATTATACTGTATAATATATATTATAGCATTATGAATATTATATAATAAGTGCGTTGAAGAGGTGCTAATATTATTGCCTGCCACATTGTTGCATAATGTATATTTTAATTTATATATAATGCAGAAAAAATAGTTACCATCTTTAATGTAATGATGTACTCTGATATTAGAATGACGGAAAGTTGCTTCTTGTTATCAAAAGCAAATCATATCTAATTTTTTTTTAAATTTTCGTGTGTGAGATATGAAAAAAATAGCCAACAAGAAAAACGCCTTAGTAAAACATTTATCAACATTCTCTTG